ATATATATATAGTTTTGACTCCTTGCTCATGCTCGCGGCCAGGGTCGGATGTTAGGGCGAGCGTCTGGAGGCCAAAAGGAAGAAGATGGCGGTGGAGTCATGCGTTACTCAGGAGGAAATTAAGAAGGAGCCAGAGAAGCCAATTGACCATGAGAAGACATGTCCGCTGCTGCTGCAGGTCTTCACCACCAACAATGGCCACCACCAACAATGGCCACCACCACCGCGTGGATGAGTTCTCCTGGGGCAACGTCCCGTCTAGCTGAAGGATCCTTGTTAGCAAGACTGACTCCATATTGCTGCTTAACTCAGCTGCCTGCCCTTTAGATGAACTCAGAAGGAGGAAGCTTAAAACCCTCCTCCCCTAGAAAGTCTCTTAGAAACAACAATTAATCAACTATTGTTTTACAAATGTTCTAACAGCAGAACGTCTTGCTTCTGTACCGGTTGGTACACTCCCCTAACCACCAACGTCTTGCTTCTGTACAGCTGCTTGCCAAGTTCCCTCTTGCGACCCCTATAAAAGGACCTCAGAGTCTGAGCTGGGCCCCTCTCTAGGCTTGGTGCTTAGAGAGTGCCGTCTGGCCAGACTAATAAAGGTCTGTTTTACTTTCACAACTTGTCCGGTGTGTTCCCTCCTCTGTAGTCAGCTCCTCGGAGTGTTTGGTGAGGCCCACAGTCTTACACAGTGAGCTGCAGATCTACATCTGGATGGATGCAACTTTGAAAGAACTGACTAGTTTGGTAAAAGAAGTCTACCCAGAAGCTAGAAAGAAGGGTACACACCTCAATTTTGCAATTGTTTTTATGGATCTTAAAAGACCTGGCTGTCGAGTTAAGGAGATTGGCAGCACCATGTCTGGCAGAAAGGGGACGGATGATTCCATGACTCTGCAGTCACAGAAGTTCCAAATAGGTGATTACCTGGACATTGCAATTACCCCTCTAAATCCAGCACTACCTCCTTCAGGGCGTATGAGGCCGTATTAAATATTATTTACCCTCCCAAATTTATTTTTCACCCAGCTATGTAAAATAAACTTATACTTTTTTCCTCCCCTGATTTTTGCCATTAAGCTTTTAAATGCTAAAAAAAATTGTAATGCATCTATTTAGGAGTTATATTTGTTGTACCGTGGTATGAATATTAATTAGAAAGTCTGTGTTTAATCCCTCACCAACCACGGCTGTCCTGGCCGCCGTGCAGCCGCATCCCCGCTAGCTCACCCGGCTGCAGCGCCCAGTCCCACCCAGCATGAACATCATGGACTTCAACGTGAAGAAACTGGCAGCTGACACGGGCACCTTCCTCAGCCGCACCATGCAGTTCACAGAAGAAAAGCTTGGCTATACAGAGAAGACAGAATTGGATGCTCACTTATAGAACCTCCTTAGCAAAGATGAATGTACCAAAATATGGACAGAAAAAATAATGAAACAAACTGAAGTATTATTACAGCCAAATCCAAATGTCAGAATAGAAGAATTTGTTTATGAGAAACTGGATAGAAAAGCACCAAGTCGTATAAACAACCCAGAACTTTTGGGACAATATATGATTGACGCAGAGACTGAGTTTGGCCCAGGAACAGCTTATGGTAATGCCCTTATTAAGTGTGGAGAAACACAAAAATGAATTGGAACAGCTGACAGAGAGCTGATTCAAACATCAGCCTTAAATTTTCTTACTCCTTTAAGAAACTTCATAGAAGGAGATTACAAAACAATTGCTAAAGAAAGGAAACTATTACAAAATAAGAGACTGGATTTGGATGCTGCAAAAAACAGACTGAAAAAGGCAAAAGCTGCAGAAACTAGAAGTTCATCTGAACAGGAATTAAGAATAACTCAAAGTGAGTTTGATCGTCAGGCTGAGATTACCAGACTTCTGCTAGTCAGCAGTACACGTTCATCATCTTCGCTGTCTGAATGACTTTGTAGAAGCCCAGATGACTTACTATGCACAGTGTTACCAATACATGCTAGATTTCCAGAAACAACTGGGAAGTTTTCCATCCAATTACCTTTCTAACAACAATCAGACTTCCAGAACTCCCATGCCATCTACTTTATCAAATGCAGTTGGTTCTTCTGCCATGGCTTCAACTAGTGGCCTAAGAATCACCTCTCCTTCCAATGTCACTGACCTTAAGGAGTCAAGTGGCAGCAGGAAGGCCAAGGTTCTCTATGACTGTGATGCCACAAACAGTACTGAGTTGTCCCTTCTGGCAGATGAGGTGATCACTGTGTTCAGCGTCCCTGGCATGGATTCAGACTGGCTAATGGGGGAAAGGGAAAATCAGAAGGGCAAAGTGCCAATTAACTACTTAGAACTGCTCAATTAAATAAGTGGACTATGAAAAAACTACTCATCATGACATCTTATTTATATATAAATAACTAAATAAAGCAGGTTTAAATGTCCTCCATGGTAATGTCTTAAGAGACTGGAAAACAAAAACAAAAACCCAG